CAGCCAGCCGTGCCTGAGTGACCGAGCCCCAGGCCGAGAGGCCGGGGGCACCCCACCCCCGAAGGGGCCCGAGCGAGCCCCAGGCTCCAGGCCCCGATAAGCGGCCGCCAAGGAGTGAGCCGGTGTGTACCTGGACGCCCAGCCCCAGACACAAAGAACCACCAACGCACCGACACCTAATTAATATTTTAAAGCAAAATGTTACCAGTAACATCTGTCCATTCATTGATACGGTCAGCTTCAAATTTGGCAAAAGTGTTGCTGATTACCTGAGTAACTGCAGTGCCAAATTTGAGATAATTTAGATGACCCTTTTTCATACTTTGGCTAAAAATTATTCTCCCCTTACTAAAAAAAATCAGCAAGTCCAACTCTGAATGGCAGTCTCACCAGTGTAAGACCTTGCTGCAAAATGATGGGTGACACACCTCCCCCTTGTCCCCTGCTTCCTCCATGGAAGGAGTGCCAGTGGGATTAATGAAACGCTCCATTTGGAATCAGTGTCTCAAGCCTTCCTCAGAATGCTGTTGGAGTTCTGCTTGAAGGTGGAAATTGAAGATCTCCCACTCACGTTCCTCCAGGTCTCTCTGTCATTGCATTGAAGTTATCCAGCACAACAATGGAGTTGCAGATGAGGCATCCTCTAGCACAACAACCAGGAACTCCAAGAAGACTGGGTGCTCCTGACTGCTGCTTTGCAAACAAGTGCAAACAACAGTCAGGACTTGTTACCAAATCCAAAGAAGCAACCTTATCATTCACCAAGAAAAACGTAAACATACTGGCAGCGAACCAAGAGGATACTAGGAGACCCACCCCAGCCTCCTCTCATCGAGGGCAGCTCCAGCTTTTTCCAGGACACTGTTTCAGAGCCCGAGCTCTGTGTTGAGGTAAGTCTGAGTATATCTACCTGGTATCAGTCAACGTACCAGTTTGGGCTGCTTCCCTGCCAGAGCGGTGAAGTTTCACATACCAGTAGCTAACCTCAGCAGCTGAGGGTCGGTCCTCCAGGGTGTCCCGTCACCCTACACACATCACACTCAAACCCTATAGCGCCACCTGCAGGCAGTGAGCTCCGAGGAAGTATTTTCACTTTCTTTTTTTGTGACATTTCCACATCAAAACCTTTAATTATATTATTATAATACTTTATCACTATCACCAGCAAAAATCCTTTAAAAACTTTCTTTGGTATGAGTTTGTGTGCCATTACACTAATCTACCGTCTCTTTGAGACTGCCTCTGAGGAGTTGCAGGGTGACCACTTTCATATCATTTATTACAGTAAATCGACTCCCCTCCATTAAAGGAGAAAGCTCTGAAATGAAAGGTGGCCCACTGGAGCGTGACAATCATCTCCTTTTTTAAATACACGGGCGATAAACATCCGTCTCCAAGCTAAAAGCACAGCCTTTTATGTTTTCTCAAGACATAATCAAAGGAGAAAGATGATTATAGTAATAGAAGACGGGAAGCAGAGCTTGTTTCATGCTGCCCAGCAGAAAAAACTGCCATCATAGGAAAAGATGTTTGCTCTGCATGTGGTTTTGTTGACTGCTGGTGCTTTAACAGGGATAGTTTAGGGCTGTTCATCGGGTGGGGGGTCCTTCCCTTTTCATGAACTAGCTTTTCATTGGTTTATGATGGAAAACAAAAGGCAGGCATCAGGTGAGAGTTAAAAATGAGATAAATTACTGGAGTATAATGGCGTGAGGCTGTCAGACAAACACAAGTATGGTATCTAAATGTAGGCACAAAGGAGCAGCTGATATCTCACATGGCAAAATGAGCCCTAAAAGTTTGCCCAGAATGCACTTTTTCAAGCTTCGTCCAATGAATTATCAGAAAGGAGTTTAAACATTGATGCTTGTTTCTATTAGGTCCAGGTCAAACATTAACCTGGAACATTTTTTAGAATCTATGATCATTGCCATCACAATGAATGCTGGTTACAGAAAAATCATGGTGAACAAAAAAAGCAGATTTTGGCTCTAGACTGTGCCTCTGAAGTGGGTGTAAAATTGTTCTTCAGGCCTGAAAATTTCCTTCCTTTCTAATCTGCCTTTAAGAAAGCAGATGATTGTTTAACGCCCTCCAGATACAGAAGCACTGATCTTCAAGCCCCAGCCGAGGATGTGCTCCTACATCTGCACTGAGGAGCATGCAAAGTCGCACACTTGTGGCGGAAATCTCACAGCAAGTGTACTGTGTAAGAATCATACAGCTGCACAAATTTTCATTCTTATCACTCGTACACGTCGCTCGGAGGTGCCGTTGCTATTGTGAATCCATCTATTGCACTGCAAACAGCGATAAGGTGCGGTCAGCCGGATTCCCGAGCCCTCCTTGTACTCGCAGAGCAGCATTAATGATAACACTGCGAGATAAAAGCCGGGACGTACATGAGCATTCATGCAGAAATTTTCTTATTAAAGAACTGTCGACACCACAGTGCAGCGAGCTCGCCCTTTGAATTGGGATCCACATTTCCAAAGACAGGAACTTATTGAGTTTGCTCATCAGCTGTAGAGAGAGAGAGAGAAAGGGAGTAACAACACCACCCGCCCACATGCATGCACGCCTCCAATTTCCACTGGGTATTAAAATGAAGGACACCTCAGGGAGAGCGACCTTTAGTGCCCGCGCTCTCACCAGTAGATAGGCATGTAAACACTGCGGAGTTTTTGTGGGATTTTCTGTGCGTTCCTGCTAACTTCAAGTCTGAATAGCCTCTACTGAACACGGTCAAAGCCGAGTGTCAGCTCGCTTTTTAAATGACATTGAAACCTTCATAACAAGGTTGCACATTCTTTATTCCGAATAATGTGAGCCGAACAAAAGCGATGCAAATGCACAACTCTGAAAAGAAAGCAGCTGCAAAACATGTTGAATAAGGGGGAGAGAATCCAAGCCGCCATGTCCAACCAGCACCTGAAACCGCAGATCACAGATACTGTGGGTCTCTACGTCACTGAACTTCAAACACTGAAACCACAAGCTGGATATAAATGATGGACTGTGGCTGCACTGCATAATGTTTTTTTTATTTTTAAACTATCACTCACATAAAACTTTATTAGGGACACCTGCTCATTTCTAACACCACACCAATTTCTAATAAGCCAATCACGTGGCAGCAAGTTAACGTGTATGTAGACATGATCAGAATGATCAGTTTTGAGCTGGTAGGAAGGCAACGGCAACTCAAATAACTACTTATTACATTCAGGGTGTGCAGAAGAGTTTCTTTGATTGAGGATGTTTTCTCAGCACACGTTGTCTCTTAGCACCTGCTGAGCATTGTTTAAACACCACAGCCTCCTTGAGTGTTGCTACTGACCATGTCCATCCCTTCACACTGTTCCCATCTTCTGATGGCTGCTTCCAGCATGATAACACACCTCAGATCATCTTAAACTGGTTTTTTGAACATGGTGTAACAGGAAAGTCACATCATGGATTTGCAGTAACTGTGTGATGTTATCATGTCAACATAGATCAAAATCTTAGAAATGTTTCCAGCACCTTGTTGAATCTGTGCCATGTTAGTCTCAGGATCATGTTATTTCTTCCAGCAGTGTTACTTGGTAAATGGCCTGTATTTGTATAGTGCTTTACTTAGTCCCTATGGACTCCAAAGCGCTTTACACTACATTCAGTCACACACACATTCACACGCTGGTGATGGCAAGCTACATTATAGCCACAGCTGCCCTGGGGCGCATTGACAGAGGCGAGGCTGCCGGACACTGGCGCCACCGGGCCCACTGGCTACCACCAGTAGGCAGCGGGTGAAGTGTCTTGCCCAAGGACACAACGACCGAGACGGTCTGAGCCGGGGCTCGAACCAGCAACCTTCCGATTACAAGACAAACTACCAACTCTTGACCCACGATTGCCCCCCAATACACCTTTATTCATCTTTTTATCATCATTTTCATCCCTGAGATGCTTCAGCTGAATACATTTTGGTCCTACTTCATGATTATTGTCTATAAAGGGAAGTTTCCACTGGGTAAATGATGACTGAGTGGATGAGTGGACTCCTTTCTCCAGTTTTGTTAAGATAAACATGATCGTTCAGATTCTTTGGTCTCGTCAGTCCACTGGATTTTAAATTGGTGGTCATTATAAACTCAGGATGAACATACTCCGAGTTTATTGAGCTAACTCTGATCAGCTTTTCTAGAACTGAAACAGTTGGTTTAACCTGTTCTAGCCTACAGCGCCCTGTTCACCCTCTTGTGTTTTTAGACTCCAGTGCTGATCACTTCCTGTTCCCTCTTCCCTTTTTCCACTTCGCTCCAGCTCTTTCCTTATTTCCCCTCCAAGTCCATAAAACTCTTCTTTCTTTCACACGACCTCAATTACTTACAGGCCAGCACACTGCTAGCAGTGTATCTGCAGGGAGCTGATATCGTCCGAAGCGTCAGATCTGGCGGTTTATCTGTCAGGCTCTGTTGGATTATAATTCGCAGGATATGAGGTGTAGAAAAGTCTGATCTCACACAAAGGACACAGCTGTCTGTGTATGCAAAACATCTCCCTCTCACATGAAAATGGCACAGTTTATATCCATGAAAGCTGCCCCGCAGCTAAGTATTTCATCCTCTAATGATAGTCGTAGTGTGGCGAGGGCCCTGTCCTCGCTGACCTCAGATCAGTTTGATTTCAGCTGACGGCGGTGGCGCCTGGAGAGCTGTCTTTCTCCTGTCTTTGCATAAAGAGGGGAGCCTTAAAACTTGCCAGAAATACAAACTGTTTCTTTGGCGTCACTTCAAAACGGCCTTTTGTTTACAAGATTTCCTCCGGCTGAGGAAATATAACTGCCTAAGCGCCCACCAACACAAACACGCTAATCCTGCCTGGAGACACAGGGAACAGTTGTGCGCTCTGAATTCTTAGTTTATATATTTGAGTTTGGGATTCTATTAAAGTTTTACTGTAAAGCTCCACATAACCACGCAGATCCAATCCGCTACACCAAGGTCATGACCTACCGTCCTCCTTCACCAGGACCTCCTTCTGGCACATGTCCTGCACGTTCACGGTGCAGTTGACGATGAACTCTGGCGTGGAGCAGTCGTGCGTCATCTCACACTGGTAACACTGGATCTGCAGAGCCAGCCCTGAAACACACACAGAAACCCCGTCATTCACGATAACTCACCCCAACAAGGTCCTCGACACTGTTTTTTCCTCCAGCTTTATCATGAAAGTTTCACCTCAAAGTGGAGTCGAGTTTTACTTTGTTAAATATTCTGCCTTTTACTCGCGCTGTTTCAAATCTGTGTGACAGATAATGCTCAATTATTTATCTGCCTTGCTGCTGGTATGTTTATCTTAGCAGCACATTTCATCATGTCTCCCTTTGATAGCTCATATTTGTCTATTTCCACAGTGAAGCTGACTTGTTTACGCCGAGTGTCCTTCAGGGGGCTTATTTACTGGGAGCGAAGGATAAACAGATTTCCGGCAGAAATCCAGTGCAGGTCATGAGCACGCTGACCTGAATCTATTTTTCATAACTGAGAAGATATATTTTTAACAGAGCGAGTCACACGCTAGAGACGGGGATCAGTCACACAGCACCTTTCAAGTCTTACACATCACTAAAACACCACACCTCAGGATTATTAACATATGGGAAAAGTGTATAGGCTACACATAGATCCTCATGTCTCTGTGGCTGACTGACTCATGGATCATCTCCCTGCTCGTTCCTCAGGCTCCTCTCATGTTGTGTTTTAACTACAGGTTATTAAAAAAAAAAATTCTATAAAAAGAAGTCATGGTTTTGGATAATTTCATGTTTTTGTCTTTTTCTATCAGTTTCATCTCCTCTCTTTGGTGATTTTCAATTTCAGCTCAGTTTTATTTATACAGCACCAAATCACAACGAAAGATGCCTCAAGGGGCTTTGTATTGTAAAGTTGCTACAATAACGCAGAGAAAACCCCAACAATCGCACAACCCTTTTTAAGCAACCACTTAGCGACAGTGGGAAGGAAAAACTCCCTTTTTCCAAGGACAAAAGCTCTGGCAGATGCAGGCTCAGGGAGGGGTGGCCACCTGCTGCAGTCAGGGGTGACCAAGAAAATTTATGAACGTTGAAAAACAAATAGTTACAAGTAGGGGAAAACTTTCATTTCATAGAGTTAAAACGCTTTTTAGAGTTTATATGATCAGACTTTGATGGATGTGTTTGATACTTTGAGTCTACAAGCTGTGATTAAGCTGTATTTCTAATGTAATACCTGTTCCTGCTGTCTCCAATAAACTTCATTGGATGAGCTGTATCACCACACTGTCTTAAGAAAAGCCCGGTCTTTTGTTGATAACCATGAACAGCCTCCTTTAATCTTGAATTACTGCTCTCAGGATGAGGTTATAGGACGCCTCTAGCTATCATAAAGGTGTATAAAGGGTCATTTGTGCCCCCCAAAAAATCAGTATACTGAATAATAATATGGTGGGATGTATTTCTATAGTTGTATAGTTCTATAAATGCATAAGTATGAATGTGGGCTGACACCCATTATTTTGTTTTTATCATAAATTCACTGATTTGTGCCTTTTCTCATTAATGAGACAATAAAGTTATTCTACTCTATTCTATTTTCCTTCTATTGTGCCTCCAGCACATGCGTTCCTTACAATATAAACTACAGATTTTAAAACATTAAAAACTAAACTGAAACAAGCAAACCTACTGAAAATGAATTAAAAAACATAAAAATTAAACAAAACACAACTAGAAAACACCCAAAGCAATAACAGCTGTGTTGCCTGTTCCACATCTGGACTGTTTGCCACGCTGCCTGTTTCTCAATAAAAGTGTGTCTCCTACATTTGGATCTTCTCGGACAGCCACACTTTGATCCTGCCTGTTCGAAGATGGCATCCTAATAACCCTGATCACCGGCTGGACTGGATGTTCAGAGGAGCACCGCCGTAATACGAAATCCACTCCTGGAGTGGAGATTCATGTTGCAGCAGCAGCGCAGGTTTAGATAAACAACCTCTTTAATGAGAATGATTTGATACTAGAAATATTCTGAAATGTAAAAGTACTCACTTCTCTTTTATTTTATTTGGCTGTTGTGCAAATATCCATGCATGTGAACATTTACAGGTATAAATACATATGTATGTAATGTGTGGGTACACATGCTTCCATATACAAGTCTTGCTCGGCATTTTTAAGTGCACATGCATTTGTCCCTACACAATAAAAGCATGAAAGACCACCACGACATCACTAGTCTAGGTCTTTTCTTCTTCAGCAGTTTTAATCTCAGAATGTCAATTATGAGTTACAGGATTTTTTTGTATCAGGCAGCAGCTGCACGCGTCTCCTTTAGTGCTGTGGACATTGTGGATGTTGCTGACTAACCCTAAGGAAAAGCTGCCTCTCCTCCTCGTTTTAGATAAAAAACACGACAATGTACAATGTATTATCCTGTTCTGAATCAACCTCTCGGGCACCTCTGGATCATTTTCAGCAAGTGTTTTTCTGTCTTCTTGTACTTCTACTCGAACTATACTGGGTGCTGGTGCTTCTTCAGTGTGTCAGAACAGTGATCCTCAAGCTTACTTTTCATTTTCTGAAAGTGGAAGAGTCCAGGTGGCGAGCAAACACTGTGTTTTTCAAATCCTGTGTTTTCAACGTGGCTCCACAGTGCACATGGTTTCCTTCTCCGTGCGACACCTCGGGTTTTCACTGTAAAACTGTGCGATGACAGTCTGACCCCAGGGGATGGATTCACGGTGCACAAACCCATGAATGCAGGAAAAATGATGAGCCTGCTCCTGGTCTTGCTCCTCGCTGCCTTCAGGCATGGAAAGCGTGCACTGTAGATCCAGCTCTCATCACCTCCACATGAAATTCAGGTCAGTTTGAAACAAAGGCTGATGTTTGCACTCGATGTTGCTGGACCAACATTCAGTATGGTGTATTGGAAAAAATGTGATGCATCATTAATCCTGTAAAATAGTTATTATGCTACCTCTGTCTGTCTAATAGACAACACATCCTAATACTATTCATAGTAATATGCTATTTAAACATTTCCTCTTATTTTCAAACCACTAAGATATGAAACTCCAAAAGAAAAACTGATTACTATGTTCTGGCTTTTTGGTGGGGATTGCACAAGCGGTGCAGCACAGTAAGATCGGTGCTAGTGTACTCCAGCACGTTTACTGAAGGACTGCACTGAAGCACAGCTTAAATGTAGTCTGTTTAAATGTGCTTTGTTTAAAAATGAACTGAAACTAGCAGAAAAATATGAAGAAACAGCAGCTGTAGTGTGATGTCCATGATGTGCTCCAGAGATGTTTGTATGATTTTGAAAAAAGGCCAGGCTGTACTCTCCAGTAATACCACTATCAGCCACAAGGTGGTGCAGTGTGTCAGAGTCAAAACTGCACAGCGTTACTTTTTATTAACTAAACTTCTGGACAGAATTCAGGGTATTTTTATGCATAGCCTTATTTTGGTAGCATAAAACAGAAATTGTCTCTTTAAATTAGCAAAACATAAATATTTTTAAGAAGAATTTAATGATGGTTGGGATGAACAACTTCATCACAATCACTTTTTTATCCAATTGTGTTTTCTTTTTTTTTCCTTTTGATCTATTTTGTTTTATTGTTTCCCATTTGTGATCTGTTCTTTTGTGTAATTTTGTAATTTTTTTTAACTTATTAAATACATTTGTTTTCTATATACATGTTATTTAACTACACTTTATTTAAACAAATTTGTTAAAACTTGCTAGAGAAGGTAAACATTAAGTTAAACATAGCAAACATATTTTAGGGTATTTTTGGCAAAATAAGATGTAGAACTCAATAAAATAAAATGCAATATGAAAAAAAATCTTAAGAAGGTAAAAATTAATCTGAAATCAAAATAAGTCAAAATAATCAAATAAAATCTAAATAAAAATAAAAACTTTTAAGTAATTTGATACATAACTATCTGTTTAAGTTCTATTGAATGAGCTGTAAGGCATAGATATTCAGATTACAGCAGTACAATGTGTAATCTTGAAAAAAAAACTATAGTTTTTTTTTAACCTTGCACTGGATTTACTAAAATGTACTATTTATGGAGATGTGTATAAAAATAAATACATGAATAAAAAACAATGTTCTGGCAGAAAATTACAAGAACATTTTCTGTTTTAACATTTTTCTAAAATGTAACTTATCTTTAAAATGCTGCCACCTTGTGGCAAAGGCTTTCATTACATTTGTGTTGAAGGTTTTTACTAAAAGTACCTTTAACAACTTCTTTGCTGGACAACTTGATCATAACTGTACTGCACATTGTACTCCGTTCATTTATTTTATTTTATTATTTACTTTTTGTTTATTTAGTAATTTGCATGTTTTAAATATGAATATATATGATGCTGAGTTTTATAGTTTAAACTAAATCCTGTCCACTTAAAACATTAAAGTGATATACACATTAATGAGCCAATAGTAATGTCACGTATGTACGACTGTACCTTTGTACATACTGAGTACTTTAAGCATATTCTAGGCAGAAACTTTTGTTCTATTAAACAGGACTGCGACTTTTACTTTAATACTTTTAAATGAGTTATTAAATTTTCAAAAATCGCTGTTTAAAGAGTCGTGCAGACATTTTGCACGTTATAAATCCGCATGAGAGCTGCACGTGCAGCTGAAAAACATCCTCTGTGTTTATTTCTGATGAAAATTTCTGTTTTTGCGTCTTTTTCTCTTCCTTTCCAGACCCTGGAGAGGCCCCTGGCTCTGCTCTCTCTCTCCGCCTAAACTTACCTGGATCGTTTCATGCGCACCGGAGCGCACAGTCCGCGCGTGCAGACTGAGGCTCCTACAGTAATAAAGGTTTAATGTGAGTAAATCCACATCAGTCTCATTAGAAAAAGGAGCAGAGAGCCTCCCGGTTTGTCTCCCACCAGCGAACAGCCTCCATACCTGAGCCGAGGAGCAGCAGGAGCAGAGAGGAGAGCGCGAGGAGCCGCATCGTCCGCGGATCAGTAAGACTCCGCACGGGAGTCCGACAGACGGAGGCGCGCCAGCTCGGAGGTGCGGACACGGAGCAGCGGCGGGTAGCCTGGCATGGTGAGCCTGACGCCTCCCGCGCGCCTCCAACGCGCTTTTATCCTCTTTGCGCACGCACACAGGCGCGTGCACGGAGACACTGCGCACCACGTGGTAAAGAAACTTTAACCATGTACCTTCTCACTCTCCTCCTCCATCACCTCCTTTTCTTCTCCTCTATTTATATTCTCCTAGTCTTCTCCTCCTGGTTCTTTCTTCCTTTCCTTCTTTTCCACCTAATTCTTCTTTTCCTCTTCTGGATCAAAGTTCTTCACCAGCCACTTCTCCTCCTCTTCCTTTTCCTAGTCATCTCTTGTCTCCTTCTTAGCTCCTGTCTCCTTCTCCTTCTCAGTCTCCTACTCCTCCTTTTTCTTCTTCACAAACTTCTCATCATCTTCGTATTCTTCAACTGTCCCTCCTCTTCCACCTCAGGAATAAAGTTCTGCTTCACCAGCTTCTTCTCATTGTTAGTACTATTCACAGTAGTAGTAGTAGTAGTAGTACTAGTAGTATGTGGATATTTTCTCACCTGTGTTCAGTCTCATTCATCACGGGAGTCAAACATCGACTTACTGACATAAATAATTAAAGTTTTCACTCTTCCAGCTGCCTTAAATCCCTCTGATGGCTCCTAATAACAACAGTCTCATATTTATGGCTCATTATTAAACAGAAATGAGGCGATAAAGTGTCACAGATTTAGTGCTTTGACCTCCAAAGTCCCTACTCAGATTTATTAATCTCGTGACTTATAGGAATCACTTCGCCAAAAGTTTTAGCTCCATTTCAGACTTTGACCCAGCAAATGATCCACAAACACTGGATCAGAGGTCGGAGGTCACGGGTACAGTTTGTGGAAAGCCTCATTCAAACTATGATAAAATGGCACCATCGGGCCACGTGTTTGACACCACTAATCTTGGTACAATCATACATGAAGTTTTAAAATGGTCTGTAAGTTGTCTGAGCTCCTACAAACTGCTGCTGTTATTCACGTGTCATAAGATGGGAACAAACCCTGGATGATTAAACGTGCGAGCTCCAGTTTTTGTGAACAGACTGTAAAACTGTAAACGGAGGAGCTCTCCGGTTCAGTATTGGTCAGGCGAAGCAGCTTTCAGATGCTTTTCAAAGACAAATAAGCCTGTCTGCAGAACTCTGGGGTGGTAAAAACTGTCTGGATTTTCTTTTACAAATCCTACAGATGAATCAGTCTCCCGAGCGCCGTACATGGTGGGCTAATATTTCACATTTAGCTGAAACGTGGGTGAACTAGCCCTCGTATCAACCTGTCCACCGAGAGCACAGACCTGCACGGGGAGTAAGAGGATTTCAGTGCAGAACAAACCCAGATGAGGGCAAACTGCTGATCTGCAGCAAAGGCGGGTCATGCTTTGTCACTGTTTCCAGGTCTCAGAGGAGGGAGGCTTCAATCCTTAGTCTAAACTCCAGCAGTTTCACTCAGGTTCGGTGCGATCAACCCGTTATAATCTGTGTCTGTGATGCATTGAGAGGCTGTTTGTGATTTACTGCGCTAATCTGCTTAATTGGAACTTGGATAATTGCACATTAAGACACAATTAAATGCTATGAATCCCTTCTTTGGTCGAACTTCAAATTAGCTGACGGTCATTTAAGTTACGCTTTAAGGAATGAGAAGATTTACAGCGACGACCCAAGGAGGTTTTTACTCAGAAATGAGACGTCCAGGTAGATAATTAAAGTGAAACCTCTCCGGTGTGAGAGGGAGAGGCATAACGGGCAGCTGTTCAAGCTGTCGAAATGCTGAAAAATGGGTCCAAATTTCAAGAGGAGAAATTTTAAAAGCCATTAGTGGGTTACAGGGGCGACAGGCAGAGATACTCAGACTTTCATCTCACATGTTTCCTCCTCCAGGTTTGTGGTTGGTTTGTTCATCGAGCCCCTCGTCTTCAGACTAGCAGCAGTAAATTTCATCCACTATAGAGTTATCAAACCGGAAAACTACCCCCAAATCTCAAATCTGTTCTTTGTATCAGGCTGTAAACATGTTTATCATAACATAAGAGTCTATGGGGACGGAATCACTGCTGCAGTCTCAAGTGAATCTCAGAAGAACTGCAAGTTTTGGCACCCGAGCCATTTCAAATGCCACAGTGCGAGCTGAAGGTCATCGCTCGATGGAGCCAGCAGGACTGCATTCCCTCTGCTGCACCCAGGAACTCTGTCCCTAAACAGAATCAGTAAAAATGAGTTCAAATTCATCCACTTCTTGTACTTCACTAAATTTGAGGCATCAGCAGTAAGTTTAGCCAAGTGTGCTGCAGCTCTAGTTTCTCTTTATGGCAGCTTCCGAGTATCCTAACATGACTGATGGCACACTGGGAGCCATTATGCACCGAGCCTTTTAAAACAGCAACACTAATCAAAGATGACTGGCCATCGGATCAGGAAAAAAGATCCCTCGGCGTGCATGCAGAGTGTGGTCAGCATCTTAAGAGCACAAGAAAACAAAAAGTCCAAAATGAACCCAATTTGCCTGTGAAATATGAGACTTTTGTGTCTTTGGGAAATGTTATTAAACTGGTTGCTGTGCATCAAAGGGAAATCATTATGTCAAAAAAGAGGAAGACGCTGGGACATTCGCTCTGACAGCTCAAACCGTGCAAGGTTACAAGAACCTTGATGCTTCCTGAGCTGCGGGAAGGTCCAATATTTTAAGTTTCTCTGCTGGCACCAGGCTCCACGCTTTATAGCTTCACATTCCCCCCACTCTGGATCTAATGGACCGCCCTTGACAGATGTGGTAACTGAGCAATGAGACACTAACACAAAATATTTCTCACGTGTTCATGTTTCAAAAGTAACGTGCTGAAGAAGTGTGAACGTAAACTGGGAACCTGCTCAAAATGACAAACAGACTCGACTAAGCCACAAATGCTGCAGTCACATGGACAGGATTTTAAATCCAGTCTGTTTGTTTCATAGTTCCAGCTCAGGCCAATCGCTGGGAAAACCCACAGCTTTTTCCTAAAACAATCACACAGTTAAATGAAAGAACAGGCTCAGAATCAGCTGGCACGGTTAAATCAAATATTCATGTTAAAAGACGGTGATTTTCTGATTTAGCAGTGTCGTGTTTTTAAGTTTCTGTTACTCTGGGTACATTCAAATAGTCCAAAAAATTATTCTCTGACTTCCTTTTCCTAACCACTTTTCCATGATTCTGATGGAAAATGTCATGAGGTCAAGGAAAAGTGTGAAGGACACTTAAGAAGTACTTAGGAAAGAGAAAGAGTGTGCCTGCATTTAAACTTCTTAATGAGATGCTAGATGTCTGCCATCCTGAAACTACAATGGACTACAAAACAACCTACTACATGCTAATGTGTTCTTACTCTGCTGTTTTATGCAGGTCAAAGGTTGGAAGTTTTGAGAAGAAAAAGGAACATTTTTTGATTACATTTTTACATTTATTTTAACAAGATTAGCTGTTTAATACGTTTTGTAGCTTTAAAGGTTTTCCTGCTAATAAAGATGTCCACCATGGCCATTCATGCTACACCAAAGCAATTAACTAATTAAGTTATAGAAATCTTCCTGTTTTTTGTTTCTTTTGTGTGTGTGGTTATTTTTTTACACAGAAATTGATATTTTACAGGACAGTCTGAGCAATGAGCTACTGGAAACCTTTCTGTAATTTATCTGTAAATATTTCTTAGATTTATAGCTCAAAGAGTCATGTGGACAGATTCCTTTCTTTTAGTACAACAGCATTTATCATGCAGAAAAATACTGGCAGCCACCAGTGCTCAACCTCCTAATAGATAAATCTATGATATCAATTTTAAAATCCTTTGTCACTTTGTTCTCAAGCTATTGCATTCACAAGACTTTTAGAAAGCTTGCCCTCTGAGGTCACTGAGATTCAAACTCATCTGAGATTTTTTGCAGATACTCGTATGGCACCAATTTAAGAAGACTGGTTATTCTACAGAAATGTCCAATTTTGGGATGCCAAGATATTTTTAAATTTATTTTATTTTTCTTCCTTTTTACATCTGTCACATGCACCGCCTTTTTGTCACTGGTGTTACTCCTTTGGCAACTTTAAAGGCTTTTATGAAATATTATTTCCTCAATCTCATCAGCACATGTGGTCAGAGCCACAGAAGAATAATGGTGCAACACATCAGGAGATTATCAACCAGGATCTGATTATATGATGTTCATTTATTTGCTATAATAATTAAAACATTTGAAAACGTTAAAAATGAGTAATGACATCACATCACAACCCTTAATTGTGACAAAATTCAATGTAAAATTATTAACACCTTTAATATGACACATTTTTCTGCCACATCTTCTGCAAAGACAGAGACAGCACATCGGCACCAGAAAGCAGCGTTTTGCTTCTTAGTTTATGGTTATTTAGTTCCCTTGAGTACTTTAACCTCATTAGTGTTTTATTGTTTACTTTTGGTAGTTTGAAATTTACTTTTATTTTTTAAAACCTCACATTAACAGCAGTGACAAAATGACACAATAAAATATTAGTATTCTATGTTTAAAACTGTACGTAAGCGAAGTACTTGTGTAAGTAAATGTACTACCCTACTTGGTTGTGGCAGCACCCCACTCTAGACTCACCCCTGATACTTTATAGTTATACTTTTGCAGATTTCTGCAGATTTCCACTGCTGTGAACAAGATTCCTATAATAGCTCTGTCCAAGACTCAGGATCTCCTCACCTGGTTGGAGAAAAACTAAAAATGTGTGATTAAAAGCGTGAAAACTGGACAGAGAACAGTATGAGGCAGCAGTGTGGTGGCACCGTGTGCTGTAGGTGTTGGGTTTGAGTTAAAGGGATTTAGAGTTCAGAGAATAAACCAAACCAGATGGCCTGAGACCTCAAATACCCAAATGTTACCCACAGCCAGAGTGGGGGTGGCTGCATGGTTTTATTTGAGGCACTTTCCTGTTTTCGTTTTTATGCCAGCATCATCTCCCATCAGCTATATGCACATAATTTGTATT